TTAAATTTGATTGTTCTTTAATCAGTTTCCCTAAGAAAGAACTTAAAGTTTCTTCTATCTACTTTCCTAAGGGGAAAAATCTGGAAATAGTTTTAGGCTGAAGAAATATAATTTCCTAATTTTAATTTTTAGAAAGGCTAAAAAGGAAGTTTTTAATATACTTCTGTTGAGGTTTAAGGGTGTAGGGGTGCTAGGACCCTAAAATCACAACACGTGAGTGCTGCCCAAAAGAATTTGACCCAAGCCTTCTTTCAGCCAAAGACAAGGCTTATTAGAACATTTGTCATATTGGGCAGACTCTTTAAAGAGTCTGTATCACAAAACCTCCAGAATCTGCCAAAATATTTTTAGCTGTTCTAACTTTCCGCTATAACCTCCATGAAAGGAGAACTCAGGGGTGTAGAGGGAAGGGAACCAAAAAGCAACTGCAGTTTCCTCCAGTTCTCTAGCCTCAAGAGAATTGACAGAATTGGGCATACACTTCCAGATAGGGCATCTGTCCTTGTCCTCTATACTACAGAAGGTGTACCCTGGTCCATGGCCTCAAACTGACCCAGTGGACCAAGAGCCCCGAGAGCATCAGGCCATATGCAAGAGAGCCTTGTAACTATCTGCCCGAAAAGCACCTCCAAGCCTCAGTGCTTGGAGAGCAACCCCAACTGCAGAGCAAGAAAGGAGGAGGGGTCAAAGCTTCCAGTCTTGGCTGGAGAAGAACTTGGGATTAGGCAGTTTCCATGTTCGAGCCACCAAAATTTTGAGGTTTAGTAGTGATGGACCCCAATATCACAACACCAGATCCTGGCTGGAAGAATTCAACTCAAGCCTTCTTTCAGCCAAGGACAAGATTTATTAGGACATCTGTCATATTGGGCAGACTCTTAAGGAGTCTGAATGTTAGTGATCTATTGGCTAGATTGTAAGAATCTAAGCTGTGGGTAGAGTTTAAGAATCTAAGCAGTGGCTGGATTATTAGAATCTGAGCACCTTAATGGAGACAAAATGGACCTTATCTACAGAAAGATGTTATGGGAGGGTTGGAGGAGTAGGCATGTAGTCTGTGGGGACTGTGAGGTAATAGAAAGCCAGGGACCTGGACCAAGTGGCCAAGGGAGAATGGAGCCTAGCTAGGCAGCTAGGATTAAGGGTGGAAAATGGGAAAGGGGGGGGCACCCTAGGGAGGTAAGACAGTGGAGGGCTAGGCTAGGTTAAGGGTAACAGATTTTGAGAGATTAGGTATACCCATAATGAAAGGCCAGTTGATGGGATTATGGCCTCAGGGGAACAGCAGAGATTTGGTCATGTGGCAAAGTTCAGGGTTTTTCCTTTTTGAGGTCTAGGTCCCATCCTCATCACTTCCACATTAGGTTTCTTAACCTTGATGTCATCCTCTTTAGTTGCCAAATGTTGTTGTTTATTCATCTACAACATTCCCTAAATATCTCCTTTTTCTTCTTCAGTGAGCCACCACTCTAATTCAGATCCTCATCACATTTTCTCTTGATTATTGCAATAACCTCCTAATTGGTCTCCTTACCTCATAGTCTCTTCCTACTTCTTCCTGTCCTTTATCCAACCACCAAAATGATTTTCCTGAAAGCACAGATTTGACCATGTCATACTGACATCCTACCTACCCACCCACCCCAGGCTCAAGCTGGTTATAATTCCAATGGCCCCATTTAACCTCTAGGTTTAAATATAAACTCTGTTTTTAATTTAAAGCTCTTTATAGCCTAAGACTCTACCCTTCCAGTCTTCTTGTTCATTATTTTCCTTCACACTTTATGGTTCAGCCATACTTAGCCTATCATACTTCATCTTCCTTTTAGAGGCTGCTGGCTGCTGAGTGATGCAGTGGGCAGAGTGCTGGGGTGGAATCATAAAGACCAGAGTTCAGATGTGGCCCTAGATATTTACTAGCTTAGTGACCTTAGACAAATTACTTAACCTCTGCCTCATTTTCCACAGCTGTAAAATGGGGAACATAATTGCATATACCTCAGCAGGGTTGTCATGTATCTATTGAGAGAATATTTATAAAGTTTTACAATATTTATATAGTTAAGTACTTAACAAAGGCTTATTCCCTTCCTCCTCCCATCTCTGTGCCTTTGCACTCTCTTCATCATTCCTTGAATGTTTTCCTCCTCCGGTTTCCTTCAGTACTCAGCTCTAGAGCAATTGCTATCAGCAGGAGCCCTTTCTTCATTGTCTCACCTATTAGTGTCTTCTCCAAGTTTACTTTGAATTTTGAATGTGTCTTATTTATAATTTTTTTGTGTGTGTTTTCTCCTTTAGGATGTAAGTTTTTCGAGGCCAGTGACTTTTGTTTTTGTCTTTGTATTCCAAGCACTTAGCATAATCCTGACACATAGTAGCTGCTTAATAAAATGCTTGATTGGGGCAGCCAGGTGGCACAGTGAATAGAGCACTGGCCCAGAAGTCAGGAGTACCTGAGGTCAAATCCGGCCTCAGACCAAACAATTGACACTTAACTAGCTGTGTGACTCTGGGCAAGTCACTTAACCCCAATTGCCTAAAAAAAGAAGAAAAAAAAATAAATGCTTGATTGATTTATTTGTTAATGAAATAACTATTAAACCAGAAGTAATTGCTGCTTCTTGATCTCCTTTCTCCTCTTTCTTCTTCCCCTTTCCCCCACCATGATTGTTTCTCCTTCATATGCATTTGTATCCTATTTTTATATCTATCAGCTCTACAGTTAGGTTGTAAACTCCTTTAATAAAGAAAATGTCTCAGTCATCTTTCTGTTCCACAGTACTTTGCACAAAGTAGGTGTTTAATAAATGGTTATGTTGAATTTAATTCAGTTCCCCCCTCCCCCAACTAATTACAGGAAATGGCAATGTAGTATATAATAATAGTAATAACTTTCAATTTATATAGTGCTTTGAAGTTTACAAAGTCAAAAGAAAAATTTTTTTTTAATTTAATTTTTTCCCCCAGTTAACAGGAGTATATCTATCCACCCCTCCATTCCTCCTCTCCTCGCTTTGGGAAAACAAAACCCTTGTAATAAGTATGCATAGCAAGTAAAACATGGTTATTGGCTGTGTCGAAAAAAGGTAGTGCTGAGCTCCAGGTAAACTCAGTGCCACCTATTTTGGACAAGGCCAGTATCATGTTGGAGGGAAATTGAATTAAATTCAGTATAACCGTTTCCCATAAGGAAGATGTCTCTCTAGTAGGTTAAGTTACTTGCTTAGTCACTTCAAGTAGAAAGTGCCAGAGGTTGGTTTCAGCCCATATCTTCTTGGGTTTCCAGAAAGAATTCAAATCCAGTATTCTGTGGTGTTACCCATTGGTTGGATTGAAGATTAGAAAGTTTGTGTTCTAATCTTGTCATTCATTTCTCTGTTACTCCTACTGCTTGGGCATATTTCTTAATCTCTGTGGGCCTTGGTTATCCCAAGTATAAAATGATTTTTAATGTCCCATTTCATTTCTAAATCTGTTTCTATGAACATTTTTCCCATATTCCCCGGCAAGGCATAATTGGCGAGTTAGGTGGAAATCAGATAGTATCTACCATTAAATAACAAATCTTTTTACTTTTTAGGTGATTTTCTTTTTGGTAATGATTACGCTTGATTTATTGATCACCTCCTATGTGCAGAGTACTGTTCTGGGACTAGAGGTACAATAGTATTATAGATAGGTTTGGACAAATAGAAAAGAGGAGTGGGAATTGGAACTACAAGGGAATTTATAAAATTAACAAAATTACTTGAGGAAGGAATAGTGATTAGAAGTTTATTTAGATGCAACCAGTAGATCATTTTATCTAGAGTAGTGGGTTCCTTTAGGGCTTAACCTTTTGTTCTTAATCTTTTGTGTACATTTTTCACCTTGGCCAGTCTGGGGAAGCTTCTGAACTCTTTCTCAGAATCACATTTTAAATTAAAAAATTAAATACATAAGGATACAAAGAAAATTAGTTATATTAAAATAGTTATCAAAATGCTTTTTAAAATAAATTTACTGACTCCAGGTTAAGAACTTGGGCTCTAGGGAGAATAATGGATTATGAGGTTGGGAATTTAGGGTGAAGAGACAGATTTGAGAAAAGCTCACTTGATAAGTTTAGACTTTCTTGGGGTGGTGTTTGGAGGTATTGCAGTTTTTGTTTTTAGAAGAGAAGTTTACATAGTCAAATGAGATATAAAGTAAGATAAATGAGATAAGTAAGGTGCTTTGAAATGTAAAACAAAACAAAGATGGTTAGTGAACCATTTTTTAAAATGCCCAGAAAAGAACTGAAGGAAGCACAAAGCAGGATAGATTTGAAAGTTACATGTTGAATAAATTATAGATTTTTTTTAAAAGAAAGCTATACATAGTAGAGTATACTTTATATATAATGCGCTTTTTCTGCTAATATTCTGCTTTGTATATGGAAATATTACCTTTTGGTATTGATTAAATTAAAATGTAAAACAAAAAATTTCAGAGTAATAAAAGGAAATTGTAAAATGCTATACATTAGATTTATAATGTTGATGAAGAAAGTAGTTTTTTGAAGTGAATTATTATTAATTACCAAATTAATTACCATACCAAAAAAGTATGGCAGTATATGTAGGGTTCCATACCCACACTTCTCTACCTCTGCCAAAAGCAAAAGGAGGCACCTTCTCATGTTTCTTCTTTTAGTTGTTATAATTTTGCAGCAGTGTCAATTGCTTTGTTACTTTTCATTCCATTTACATCATTGTAGTCATTGTCAGTGTTGTTTTCCTGGTTGAAATTAGGGTCTTGATTAGGCTTGTCAGAAATGCATATGTGGTACCACTCAGCTATTTATAATAAAGTATAAAGGATTCTTATATCTCAGTTTTAAAAAGGTTGCCTTTTGAAAAAGTTTGATACAGTAATTGGACAACATGGCATTGTGACATTGTTTAAATAAAGAAAGAGTATAAAAGTTAGAAGGTCAGCTGTTAAATCAGTTTTGTGCTTTAATTATTTTTTCCTACTAGAGTTGTAAAGATGTGCCAGCTGTAGAGAAGACTATTAGATTGCTCCCCAGTAGCCGTGTTGCAAAATTGCAGATATTCAGTGTAGAAGGACAGAAGGCAATTCAGATCAAACACCAGGATGAGATCAACTGGATAGCTGGAGATGTCATGCATAATCTCATCTTCCAAATGTATGATGAAGGAGAAAGAGAAATTATTTTAACGCCTGCATTAGCTGAAAAAATTAAGGTAAGTCTCAGGATAAAGTTATCCAAAAAAAGTTATTGTTACTATAAACACTTAAGATAGAGTCTCTTTACAAACTATCTTATTGGGAAGAAAATTGGCACCAAATAAAGTTCCAATTCAAATGTAACTTTAAATATAAATTTGAGGAAAAGGCTATTGGTGAATTTTGTCATCAGACTATTTGGTTATATACTTTGGCAGAAATTCTTAGTCAAATTGTAATTTGATATTTTTAACATACTCTTATTTGTTTGCATTTTACCTCTTACTAGTTTATTTTCTAATGTAATATTGTTGCTGGTTGTGGTAGCACATGGGATGACGAAGCAGGTGGATCATTTGAGCTCTGATAGGGCCAACTGAAACTGATTTGGCGGTTGCACTTAGTCCTGCATCAGTATGGTGAACTCCTGAGGCTGGGTAGGGTGTGTAGTGTGAGTGAAGAAAGAACAATTATGCTAAGAAACTTGAGGGTTAAAGCTTCCATGTTAATCAGCAATGGTGTCTCAGATCTGTGAGTGTCTACTACTCTTGAGTCCGAGTCAGATCAGGAGATCCAGATTCAAAGAAATGGAAAAAAAAAGAAGAAAAGCAAGAGAATTGTTATTATAGCAATTTCCAGGTAACTATATTATCGTAGACAAGTAGTAGTTGAGTTTCTTATGTTTTGGACCCTGTGACTTGTAAGAAGTTGAAAAAAAGGGGGTTGATGGATGGTTTACAAGAAATGCCTTCAAAAAATGTGATTTAAGATATATCCTTAGTAATTATTAGTGTGTTGCCTTGATTTTCCTGAGTAATGTAAAGTTGTAGAGATCAATTTCATGGTACCCTTTTCCTAAATATTTAGGGTAGCAAAGGTCTGCCTTCATACCTAGAACATGATTTAAATTTCTTTCAGCTACAAAAGAAGCTCATTTTTGACAAATGTAACCTAAGTTTTTCTAATCCTATTACCTTAGATGTATTCGTGTATTATGAGCATATTTATGCATTCTTCAGTTTAGGATGCCAATGACTTAACAAATTTTCTGAACACAAATGGATTTCTTCTTAAATGATCGTTTAGTTCGCACTCTCTGTATCCAGGGTACATGAGGGATGTAGATATACTTGATTAATACAGGCCTCCCTAATAGATATTTCATTGATTGCATTTGCATTTGATGAGACTTTAAAGGACAGTAATAGTGAAGAAAATGCAAAGTCATTTTCCCGAGAATAGTAAAGAATAGTTTGGTGTTTGCTGGTTACCATCATTCCTAATCTGTTAATGAGTACTTTGTATTTTCCATTTTACAAAATATTTATTAATTTTTTATTTTTACATCACCTTCATTTCCAAACATTTTTCTACCTCTCCCATCTTATAAACCTTAACTATAATTTTTTTTAATTTTAACTTTTTTTAAATTTATTTTATTTTTTTGGTGAGGCAATCGGAATGAAGTGACTTGCCCAGTGTCACACAGTTAGAAAGTTTCAAATGTATGAGGCTGGATTTGAATTCAGGTTCTTCTGACTCCAAGGCCGGAGCTCTATCTACTGTTCCACCTCACTGTCCCTGTAAATTTTTTTTTAAAGGAGAAAAAAGTAGTTCAACAAAACTAACTTTCACATCAGGTGATTTTGTCAATATATATAGTGTTATAACCATAGTCTTCCTCCTCTGAGAAGTGAGGAATTTTCCATCTCTTATTTACACTTGTCATCTCTTCTTTAGGCTAGGTTTGGTCATAATGTGGTTCTTTCTATTTACCTTATCATCATAGTGTATATAATTTTCATTGTTCTGCTTATGCAGCAGCTCATTTCAGACTTCTTATGTTTTTCCTTATTTTCTTTCATATTCATTGTTTCTTGTAGTATAGTAATATTCTGTTATATTTAAATCTTACCGTTGTTATAGCCCTTCCCCAGTCAATAAGGCATTTACCTTATTTGAAGTTCTTTGCTACTCAGTACTTCATATAAATTATGTCACCTCATATTTTGCAACAATCCTTTGAAGTTGGCAATGTAAATATTATAATTCCCATTTTACAGATATCTCTTATAGATCTTTATTATTTCAAAGTGGCACAGTTACAATTGCCTTTCAGTACAACAAACATTTGTTAAGTACTTAATATATGCACAATACCATGTGAGACATCAGTTATTGAAAGAAGAGTAAGAGGATTTCCTGCGAATTCTGAATCTTAGGGTTTAATAGTTTTTATGACTGAAAGTTCGGTTATTTCCACTGTACTAAATATCTAGGTTTCCTCTCTCTGAATTCTGCTTAAGCTGTATCTCCAGGAATATAACAGTTGTACATGCATATGTATCTTGTCTTTCCACGTAACCTACATTTTTCCCTTCTAGGTTAATTGGACACCTGAGATTAATAAGGAACAGTTGCTGCAGGGTTTGCTACCTGATGTACAAGTACCAACATCTGTGAAAGATATGAGATATTGCCAGGTTTCGTTTCAAGATGATCATGTGTCTTTGGAGAGTGCATTTACTGTAAGGTCTGTGGGTTTGTCTGTTTTTCAAGTATTTTTAAATTAGCATTTTTTTAAATGGTGAAAAAAAGTTCTTTATTTTTAATATATACTCCTGTTTGTACTAAAATATATTTAAAATGTATATGGTAAAAATAATGTATCAGTTGATATGGAATACAGTGGGTTATTTTTAGAATAGGGATTTTTTTGAAAATTAAAAATTTTTTTTGGAAAGTCTTATAGTACTAATAAGTTAGAAAGACTTTATTTCCAAGGTGTTATAATAAACCACATTTGGAATATGGAATTCTAACGTTTTTAGCTGAAAAAAGAAAAAGAAAAAAAGCAAATCTTGATATTAACAAAGTTTAAACAAAAGCAATAAGTCCTTACTTTCTGGGGGCTTACATTGTAATGGACAAAAATGTAGATTCTACAAAGAGAAGTTTGCCTGAAGGTAGGGAATGATGAGGATAAAAAAGGACATTTAAACAGTATACTGTTAAATGTTTGAGAAGGAAAACAAAGATTTTGATACATAAAGCATCTGCATTGATAGGGGGAATTTTTTTTTCTTTTGAAGGGGGAATTTTTAAAGGTGGAAGAAAGAAAGGATCATATTCTAGGTACTTACGCTGGTATGGAAATGAGAAATGTGTGAATACATAGAAGTTGGAATAGGTTTTTCAGCTCAGGGAAGAAGAGGATGTAGTTCAGTTAAGCTGAAAAATAGGTTATGTGAATGGGAGTAATATGAAATAAGCCTGGAAAGAAAGATTGGAACCGTATTGTAGAGGGTAATAAATACAAATCTGAGAAGTTTGTGTTTCATTTCGGGGCATTGCTGACAAGTCATGTTTTTTGAGGCAGTAACTGATAATGGTCAGACTTTTACCATAGAATGATTATTTTGACCTTTGAAGGATTGATTAGAAGTAGTAGACATATCAGGCAAGAAGATCAGTTAGGAGAGTATTACAGTAGATGGTGATAGAACAAACATTTGAAAATGGTAATAGGGAAGCAAGGAATAAATCTAATTCTTCGTCTTGGTAGAGTATGTTTCGTATAGGAGGAACATGAGAGGTGGAAGGGGGAGGTATTGTAGAAGGTGGCAGTGGTTGATATCTTCCAGAGAAATCAATCATTCAACTAGTGCTTCTTTTTTTTTGGCTAAGCAGTGGGGTTAAGTGTCTTGCCCAGGGACACACAGCTAGTAATTGTCAAGTGCCTGAGGTCAGATCCGAACTCCAGTGCCCCTGGCTTCAGGGCTGGTGCTCTATCTCCTGCGCCACCTAGCTGCCCCCATCTAGCTTTTCTTAAATGGCTGATATGCCAGGAACTGTGCTAAGCCCTTTTGATTCAAAGAAAGGAAAAAACCAGTCCCTGTTCTAAAGGATCTTATAGTCTAAAATGGAAGACAACAGGTAGAAAACTATGTACAAACATGATAGATACAGGATATATTGGAGGGAGTTTTAAGAAAGATACTAAGGTTAAGAAGGATTGAGAAAGCCTTCTTGAAGAAAGTGGACCTTAGCTAAGACTTGAAGAAAGCCAGCAAAGCTAAAAGTCAGAGACGTGGTATGAGAGAATCACAGGCATGGGGGAAAGCCAGTAACCAGTGAATAGTATGTCAGTCAATAAATATTTATTAAGTGTCTGCTATGAGCCAGGCGCTGTGCTAAGTATTGTGCAAAAGTTGTGAGTGTACAAAAAAATATGAAAGACAGTCTTCTGCCCCTGAGGAACTCATAATGAAAGTGTGGGAGTAGATGGGCAAACAGATGTGTACAGACAAGCTATATATACAAGATAGGTAGGAAGTAATTAAGAGAATAAAATCAGTAGAATTGAGATGGGTTGGGAAAGGCTGCTTGTAGAAGATGAGATTTTTAGTTGGGACTTAAAAGAAGCCAGGGAAGCTAGTAGGCAGAGATAAGGAGTGAGTGCATTCCAGGCATGGGTGATAGCCAGTAAGAATGTCTGTAACCCAGAGATGGTGTGTCTTGTTGATGGAACAGCCAGAAGGCCAGTGTCATTAGATCAAAGAGTATATAGTTGCAGGCTGGTAAGTAAGTAGGAAGGGGCTAGGTTATGAAGGGCTTTGAACCCCAAACAGGATTTTGTATTTGATAGTGGAGTTTATTGTGTAGAAGAGTGAATGATTGTACCTGTGCTTTAGAAGAATCACTTCTATGGCTGAATGGAAGATGAACTGGAGTAGGGAGAGACTTGAGGCAGATACAACCAACAGCAGGCTACTGCAGTAGTCCCAAGCATGAGATGATTGAGGCCTATCCCAGAGTGGTGACAGTGTTAGAGGAGAGAAGAGGGTGTATTTGAGAAATGTTGCAAAGGTGAAATTGACAGGCTTTGTCAACAGATTGGATTGGAGCTGGTAGGAGAGAAGGCAGATAGTGAGGAGAAAATGCTGATGATTCTTAGGTTGCAATCCTGAGAGAAGATAGGAATTGGAGAGGGTTGGGGGCGTGGGGGGTGGGTTGGAGGGGAGAGAGCTGGATAAGGAACTCTATTTTGGACAGGTTGAATTTAAAATGTCTATTGGGCAGTTTGAGATTTCTGAAAGACAGTTGGTGATGTGAGATTAGAAGTCAGTACCCAGTTGGGGACAGGATAAGTAGATTTGAGAATCATCAGTATAGAGATGGCAGTTAAATCCATGGGAGCTGATGAGATCAGCCAAGTGAAATAATAGAGGAAAAAGAAAGTCATAGGATATAAACCCTGAGGGACATCTATGCTGTGATCTATCAGTCAGTCAATAAACATTTACCTACTGTGTGCTAGGCATCCATGCTAAGCATTGGAATGAGGATCCAGCAAAGGAGACCAAGGAGTAGTCAGGTAGGAGAACTAGGAGAGACTGGTGCCCAGAAAACCTAGAGAGAAGACAGTATCAAGGAGAATATGGTAGTCCACAGTTTCTGAAGTTGCAGAGAGGTTGCAGAAAATGAAGATTGAGAAGAAGCCATTGGTTTTGTTACTTATGGGATCATTGGTAACTTTGGAGAGAGGATTTTTGATACAGTGATAAGTTCAGAAGCTAGATTGCAAAAAGAATAGGAGAGAAAGTGAAGGCATCTATTGTTGAAGGCCTTTTCAAGAAGTTTAGTCACAAAAGGAAGAGATATAGGACAATAGTGAGGCTGGAAGGATTAAATGAGGGTTTTGAGGCAAAGCTCCAAAGCTTGGAGACATTGAGTAACAGAATAGCCTAATTGCAAGGTTTGTAGGCAATAGAGAAGGAGCCAGTAGCCAAGAAGAGATTGAAAGTAAGTGATAGAGTAGGAATGACAGAGTGGGGCAGTCAGTTGGAGGAGGTGAGATGGAATGAAATTGCTTGAGATGGTAAGAGTTTGCCTTGATAAGAAGTAAGACCACCTCTTTGTGAGAGACAACATGGAGTCCAGAAATGGAGTATCGTGTTCAAGGAATGGTGGTGAGGTCAGTGTCACTGCATTGTATAGCACATGTAGGGCAATAAGGCGTAACAATATTGGAAAGGTAGGGAGGTCTTTAAAAGCCTAACAGAAGGTTTTTTACTTTATCCTGAAGGAAATAGGGAGCCACTGCAGTTAATTGAAGGTTACATCTATGCTTTAAGAAAATACATCTTAGTTGGAGGATGGATTTAAATATGGGGTAAGACTTTAAGCAGGGATACCAACCAACAGGCTCTTCCAGTACTGAAGATGTGATTCAGCTATATAGAAGAGGAGAGTTTGGGGAGAGGTAGTGTAGGAAGTAATTTTTGCTTTTTAAACAGCAATTCTAAATCTCAAGAATTACAGAGCAGAAAGTGGGTATTTGCTAGCCATGGGATAAGGGAAAATTTATTTGTTCATTGGAATGCTTACTTGATCAGAGCAGGGCAGATGGGTAGTGACAGTCAGGAAGGTAATGTAGTGAAAGAGAGGGTACTAATAATAGGCAGTCCATGGCAGCCATTTCATTCTTCTGTCCTCTCTCACAGTCCTTGTGAGGTATCCTATGACAGAGCCAGGAAAATTGGTGAATACAGGAATGTCATGTGGCAAAGGAGACCTTTACTCTTGGATAACACAACCACTTCACTGTCTGCCTTCAGCACAGTTGTCATGAGTGTCTGTGACTTTGTCCAAGACCTGATCATCAGTGTCTATGGTAGTACCAGTGTTTCCTTCTTCTTTCTCAGCCGTGTCCATGAACAGATTTCCCTTCATTATGATTTATCAATGGGACAGCTTGCCTATACCAATAGTAGGTGAGTGGATTCTTTCCTGAGGAGGTCTTCAGCCCTAGTCAGAACCTAGGGCTGGTATCAAGAACAATTGGCAATGTCAGCAGTGACATTCTCCTTAGCAGTGGTTGCCCCCACCTTCTTGGGAGCAACTGTTGATCTCATACCAGCATTGAAGGTGAGAATCGCAGAAGATGAGCCAAAATAAAAGTGTACAGAAGAGAGGAAATTGTATTATAACAGAAAAGTCAACAGAGTAGAATATGTCTGTTGGGTAGTCAAAATCAGACCCAAAGGCAGCTATGAGGAGTGAGTAGCTGTTCTGCATTATCCCTTTAGAAAGACAAGAAGGAAGAAGAGAATACCAAGCTCAAAACAGCTTTGTAGTTTGAGGCATTAGGAGAGCAGCCTAAAGCCCTACCCACCACATATTCTTCCTAACTAAGCTGTATAGCTTTAAGTCCTTGAATGCTATAATTTCCATGGAATCAAAGTTTCTGAGGGCAATGGAAAGAAAAATGATGAGCATAATCAGCCTTATTTAGTTCATGATGATTTATGTGTAGAAAATATCATAAAAGACACCAGGCACATAGATAACTAGAAAAAGTGATAGTCTATTTGTGTGATGACAGTGAAAGATGACAAAGTTGTACGGTCTGATACTATTTTGGTTTCTATGAAGTGTTAAATTTTACTAGATTGCAAGCTCAGTGTGAGTCAACAGTGTGACAAGAGATGCAAGAAAGCTAATGAAATAGGGGCGGAGCCAAGATGGCAGAGTGAAAGCAGGGACTTGCTTGAGCTCTCCCCCAGACCCCTCCAAATACTCATAAAAAATGGCTCTAAACAAATTCTGAAGCAGCAGAACCCACAAAAAGACAGAGTGAAACAGATTTCCAGCCCAAGACAACCTGGAGGGTTGATCAGAAAGGTATATCGCACCAGGCTGGGAGTGAAGCACAGTGTGGGCGCACAGGCGGCAGTGAACCTGGAGCAGGCCTCAGAGGACTGAATCTCTGGCAGCTGTGGAGGTTTCCAGACTTCTCAATCCACTAATGCCAAAGACAACTTAGAAGGTTAGTGGGAAAAGTCTGTTTCTGTCTGTGCTCAGACAGAGAGGAAGGCGGGGTCTCAGCTCCATTCCCCAAGAGCATGGCCCTGGGGGGGGAGCTGCTTGCTGAGCTTCCAGCCCATAGATTGAGGGGGAATCCAGTGGCTGATCAGAGAGGGCTTGCAGGGATGTCTTTGCCAGTGCTGAGGCAGGAATCTCTTGCTTTGCCCCTTGTTGGATCTGGGTCACAGTTCTGGGCGGCAATGCTGGGGTGAGGAGGAACGCTGGCGTGGTAGAGCTTGGAGTGGCTGTGGAGAGGAACCTTTCCTCACAGTTACAGCACAGAAAGGAAAGGAGTAAACAGCTCACCCTTTATCATACCACCTTGTAAGAACTGAAAATTTACAGGTCCCTACAGGTATCTCTGAAAACAGCTGTACAACCCCTGAAGCTTGGACAGTACATTCTCCACATTGGAAGCAGATTCATACCTTAACAAAGAGTTTAAAACTCAAGTAATTGGCTGGGATCATGAGCAAGCAGTACAAAAAGAGTCAGACTATATTATCTTACTTTGGTGAAAAAGAAGATCAAAATATACAACCAGAAGAAGACAACAAAGTCAAAGCTCCTACATCCAAAGCCTCCAAGAAAAATATGAATCAGTCCCAGGCCTTGGAAGAGCTCAAAAGGGATTTTGAGAAGCAAGTAAGGGAAGTAGAGGAAAAACTGGGAAGAGAAATGAGAGTGATGCAAGAAAATCATGAAAAACAAGTCAACAGCTTGCTAAAGGAGACCCAAAAAATACTGAAGAAAATAACACCTTAAAAAAACAGCCTAACCCAAATGGCAAAAGAGGTCCAAAAAGCCAATGAGGAGAAAAATGCCCTAAAAAGAAAAATTGGCCAAATGGAAAAGGAAGTCCAAAAGATTACTGAAGAAAATACTTCCTTAAAAATTAGAATAGAGCAATTGGAAGATAGTGACTTTATGAGAAATCGCAACACAGTAGAACAAATCCAAAAGAATGAAAAATTAGAAAACAATGTGAAATATCTCATTGGAAAAACAACTGACCTGGAAAATAGATCCAGGAGAGAGAATTTAAAAATTATTGGACTATCTGAAAGCCATGATCAAAAAAAGAGCCTAGACATCATCTTTCAAAGAAATTATCAAGGAAAACTGCCCTGATATAGTAGAACCAGAGGGCAAAATAGAAATTGAAAGAATCCACAGATCTCCTCCTGAAAGAGATCCCCAAAGGAAAACTCCTAGGAATATTGTAGCCAAATTCCAGAGTTCCCAGGTCAAGGAGAAAATACTACAAGCTGCCAGAAGGAAATAATTCAAGTACTATGGAAACACAATGAGGATAACACAAGATTTAGCAGCTTCTACATTAAAGGACCACAGGGCATGGAATATAATATTCTGGAGGGCAAAAGAGATAGGATTACAACCAAGAATCACCTACCCAGCAAAACTGAGTATAATCCTTCAGGGGGGAAAAATGGTCATTCAGTGAAATAGAGGACTTTCAAGTATTCTTGATGAGAAGGCCAGAGCTGAATAGAAAATTTGACTTTCAAATACAGGACTCAAGTGGAACATGAAGAGGTAAACAGATAGATAGATAGAGGGCCCAGGATGAGTTGAAGATTAAGGGGTCTTATCTGGAGAATAAAATTAAGGATGACAGAGGATTATACTCAGAGAAGAAGAAAGAGAGATAGAATGGGGTAAATTATCTCACAAAAAAAGAAACGAAAGAAAAGTCTCCTGCAGTGGAGGGGAAATGGAGGAAGGTGAGAGAGAATGAGTGAATCTTATTCTCATAGGATTTGGCTTAAGGAGGGAATAACAAACACATTCAATTGGGTATGGAAATCTGTCTTACCCTACGGGAAAATGGGGGGAGAAGGGGACAAGAGAGCAGGGGGAAGATAGAGAGGAGGGCAGATTGGGAAAGGGGGTAATCAGAAGTAAATACTTCTGAGGAGGGACAGGGTCAAAAGAAAAATAGAATAAATGGGAGGGCAGGATAGGATTAGGGGAAATAGAGTTAGTTTTTTACAACATGTCTACTATGGAAGTGTTTTGCGTAACTGCACACGTACAACCTATATTGAGTTGCTTGCCTTTTCAATGAGGGTAGGTGGGAATGGAGGAAGGGAGAATATTTGAAACCTAAAGTTTTAAAAACATGTGTTTAAAAAAATGTATTCACATGCTACTGGGAAATAAGAAATACAGGAAATGGGGTACAGAAGTCTGTCCTAGCCTACAGGAAAATAGAAGGGGAAGGGGATAAGAGAAGGGGGAAGAGATAGAAGAGAGGACAGACTAGGGGAAGGGATATTCAGAATGCATGCCATCTTGGGGTGGGGGGAGGGGTGAGATGGGGTGAAAATTTAGAGCTCAAAAACTTGTGAAAGTGAATGTTGAAAACTAAAAATAAATAAATTTATATTAAAAAAAACCTAATGAAATAACGGGCTTCATTATGTATTTGAGATGAAGAATGTTAAGAGTTCCACCATACTCTGTTTTGTTCAGACCACATCTAAAGTTCAGTTCTGGATAATACGTTTTAGAAAAAATGCCAGTAAGTTCATGAGCATTCAGACGAGTGTGATCAGGAAAGTAAAGGGCTCTCAGAGTATGCTGTATTCAGTTCAGTATGTGGCAGTATTTTTTTTTAAATTTATTTTGAATTATCAACAATCATTTCCATAGGCTTTTGAGTTTTAAATTTTTCTCCTCCTCCCTTCCCACCTCCCTCCCTAAGATGGCGTGCAGTGTGATATAGGCTATATACGTGTGTGTGTGTGTGTGTGTGTGTGTATACATACACACACACACACACACACACACACACACACACACACACACTCGTATTAAACATATTTTCACATTAGTGATGTTGTAAGAATTAGAACCAATAGGAGTCTTTCCAGGTTTTTCTGTAGTCTGCCTGCCTATCATTTCTTATAGCACAGTAGTATTCCATTACATTCATATACCACAACTTGTTCAGCCATTCCTCAGTTGATGGGCATCCTCTCAATTTCCAATTCTTTGTATGGCAGTATTTTTTTAAACACTCAACATAAGTGCATGGTAGTACATGAAGTTCAGAGGATATGACCCCAAAACAATAAGTTTACTTTCAAGTGAGAATTAGTTGAAATAACTGGCATTTAACCTTGTGAAGGGAAAACTGGCGGGGGACATAGGACATCTCTATTTAAGCCCTTAATGGCTGTCAGCATGAAAGAGTAGACTTGTTCTGCTTAGCTCTTGAGAGTAGAATTACGAGCACTGGATGGAAATTTCAAAGCATCAAGTTTAGGTTTGATGAAAGGAAAAAATCCCAATATTTACAGCTATCCAAAAGTGTGGTAGGCTGCCTTACAAGATATGAGGTTTCCCCTCACAGGAAGTGGAGGCTGGATAATCACTTGTGAGATGCTTGGTAGAAGTTGAATTATTTGTTCAGGCATGGCTTGAACTAGTTGGCCTCTGATGCCTGTTCTAATTTTGGGATTCAGTGATTTAAGAGAATTTATTCAATTGAGTTGAAGAAACATTGCTGAAATTCAAAAACTTTTTTACAAAGCACTGGAATACAGGGACAGATAAAAAAATCTATGCACAAGGAGCTTAAATTCTACAGGGAGAATACACTATTTATGTAGATAAGTAAATACAGTTTTGATTATTTGAATAGAGAAAGGTCCCTCACAAGTATGGGCATCAGGGTAGGCTTCTTGTAGCAGGAAGCATCTTGTTTGAGCCTTGAAGGAAGGTAATCTTTCTGAGGAGAGGTAAGGAGCAATTTCACACATTTACAAGATGAAAAAAGGAGTCCAGTCTGTACCAGTACAAGGAGAACCCATAGTGGTAAAGTTTTGGATCCTTGTAAGTTTTCTAGGCAGATTCCTTTTTTGCTTATTTCTGGGTTTATATCTATATTGTACTTGTTTGAGTTGGCTAGAGGCTGTCGTTGATTTATTGATGTTAAGTCATTTGTTCAGTCTTTTCCAACTCTTCGTGACCCTATTTGAGGTTTTCTTGGCAGAGATACTGGAGTGGTTTGCCATTTCCTTTTCCACCTCATTTTCCAGATGAGGAACTCAGACAAATAGGATGAGGTGTCTCAGGCCAGATTTGGACTCATGAAGATGATTTTTTTCAGATTCCACGGCTGACACTCTATCCACTGTGCCAGCTTGCTGCCTGCTATGTTTGATAGGGCAATGTAAATTTCTAAAAATTTATTTTAATTAATGACTTAAGGAAAGTTTTATAATTTGTGAATTAATTTCAGACCACTGCCTGATGAACCAAAACAACTTAAATGCAAGTTAAAAGGAGGAAAAACAATACAAATGGGTCAAGAACTCCAAGGAGAAATAGGTTAGTATGGCATGTTGTTCTAAACAATACTTATATTCAGAATTTCTTATAAGACTGAAGGATTGTACATTCATTATTTTTTAATTAGAATAAATTATAGAAAGTAGAATGAGGCAGTGAGTATGGTAGAGATTATCTAGGCTCATAAGAATGTATGGTGAAAGACACATATTGTTGATTTTTAAAACATTAAATGAATATAGTAGAAAGGGTACTAAACTATCAAGGGAACTGATTTTTTTTCCCCTTGATTCCAGTAGTCCTAGCTATGTAACTTTGTGGAATTCATTTAAATCTGTATGAGTCTTAGTTTCCTGAACTATATATTAGGGTATCTACCTTTGTTGTAAGGTGCAAGTGACAATAAGGTATGTTCAGAGCATTCTATGCTAGTATATTTCATTTTGTTTTGGTCCAGACCTGTGATCTCATTGGTGTAGAGAACTCATAGATGAGGGACCTCCCTTTACCTTTGCACATCAGTAATTATTCTGCAACTTAAAGTCTTAGAGAGCTAGTTGACTGGAGTGATGAGATAAGAAGTGACTTGCCCAGGGTCACAGAACCAGTGTGTTTCACAGTCAGAACTTGAAGCTGGATATTCCTGACTGTGGGGCCAATATATATCTACCACTTCATGTGTCTCATGCTGTCATAATTGCTGTAACAAAAATCTGATGAGCATACATTGGGGCACTGTATCTGCTTGAACGTTTACAGGCTAAGATTTTTACTTCTTTTGGCCATGTTGTAAGACCTCACTTGAAGAAGTGATATGTTGTAATTTGAAATAATCTCTGATGCCCTGGGAGGCCGCAAGGCAAATTGACTGGAGAACAAGATTTAGGAGCAGGGAGAACCTCGATTCAGTTCTTGTCTCTGATACATATTGGCCATGTGAATGTAGGCAAGTCACTTCTTTTCTCTAAGCCCATAAGTTGTTGAGAAGGTAAGGACCTACATTGGTATGGGGAGTTCTGTAATGAAATTACAGGTCCAGTCACAATTCTTATTCTCTTACCATATTCAGTTTGTGTCAGAATGGGTAACTTTTTAGAAATGATTTCATTAAAATAATCATGTCAGTGCAAAACATTTTCCTTTTGCTTTTAAAGAGGTAATAATTACAGACCAGTATGGAAATCAGATACAAACATTCACATCAAGTTGTTTAACTTCTTTGGGAATTTCTGGAAATGGACTTGATAAATCCAGTTTGAAAATTACTTGGCAGGTAAAACTAACTTTCTAAAATATTTGTATTTGATTTATTTCACATTATGAAAAATGAATATAGTTTAGAAAGTGGCAGCTGGTCATTTGTGATTCTTTTTTCAAATGAGAACCCATTTGAAAATGGATTTTCAGTAGGTCTTCTCTGGCCATATATTTTTAAAGATTTATACATGATGAGGAATGGAAGAATAGAACAGTATTTATTATAGCTGTGCAATAATGCACAGAATTATTTTAAAAATAAGGAAATTGGTTATCTTAATGGGACAAATAACCATGGAAAACCTTGATGCCATTTGTCACTAGTGATAAACTTTTAGAACTCAAATAATAGAATTGTTGACTGGCCTTACTTACTTTGCCAGTGGTAGGAGACTATGGATATGGAACATACAGTATTCTTTGTAAAATTCCATCTTCATGTGTCATATTTCCCTTCAGTAGCTCCCAACGGTTCTTTATTGTCTACTTTGTAAAGTTCTAACGACACTACCTGACTTTCAAGGCCTCAATCTATTTATTCAAATTTATTTTTTAATATTCTCCAGTAACCACTTGTTTTTGCTCTGCACAGCACATGCTTTTAATTTAGTGGACTGATCAGTTTTTGGTAATGCTGTTCCCTACCTGAAATGTCTATATTCTACCTATCCACTAAGGATCAAGTTGTCTCTGACTATGTCAGACAATACTCCTTTCTCCCTTCTCTGGATCCTAACACTTAGTACAGTTGCCTGGTACATAGTAGACACTTAAAAAGTGCTATTTGACTGATTAGATTTCTATTGCTGTTATAATTAGTACCGCGTGGTTTAACATTTAATTTTATTATTTTTTAGTGTATACCACAGGGAATTCTACATATTCAAGCTTAATAAATAGTGAATGAATGTATTTTTAAATACATTGGTAAGGTCTCTGAAGGCTTCGGGACCATGTCTTAGGCTTATTATGCTTCTCTTTTTTTGTCCAGCATAGTGCTGAAAAGATGCTTACTGTTAAGTTTTAGTTGAAGTCTAAATAAGAAGTAATTAATTCCTTTGAGTTAAAAAAAGACTTTAAGCACATTTTTCTTTTTTAACTTATCTTTATTATTAGGACAGCACACAGACTATAATTATAAAAGGCATAAAATTTAGCCCAGGTCCTCCTGGAAACAAGGAGCTCTGCTTTGCATGGCGTGAGTTTTCAGACTTTCTCCGGGTACAGCTAATTTCAGGACCACCAGCTAAACTTCTCCTGGTAAACTGGCCAGAGTTAACAGAGGTAAGTAGGATTCTGCTTGATATTGGATGAATATATCTTGAGTGTGGTTTTCAGTGATGTGAGGGCATGTAAATCATAGTGTCATTGTTCTAAAGCTGGAGGGCACCTCACCGGTCATCTAGTCTAACCCTCTTATTTTACAGATGTTGAGATAGATCATTTGGGATACTTTAAGTAATGGAGTTTATGTTTAACTCTTTAATAGCTTCTTTTGGGCAGGTAAAGTTATACTTAAAATATTTGCTTCCCATTTGCCTTTACTGGCTGAAATGAACAGTGAGTAAGGAAAGGGAAAGGAAAGCATGCATTTGTGTTTAAGAACTTTTGGGAGGGAAAAGATACCACTGACTGGCCTTGGAGGTCTTTATTTTTATTTTTTTAAATTCTTAATTAATTTATATTGAATTATTAACAATCACTTCCATAAGCTTTTGAGTTTTAAATTTTTCTCCCCCTCCCTCCCGACCTCTCTCCCCAAGATGGCACGCAATCTGATATAGGCTATACATATCATTCCTATTGAAAATATTTTCACATTAGTGATGTTGTATGTAAGAATTAGAACCAATAGGAAGAACCACCAGAAAGAGGAAACAAAATATAACAGAAGGAAAAAAAAGCAAATAGTGTGCTTCGATCTGCATTCATAGTCCTTTCTTTGGGTGTGGATACCATTTTCCATCATGAGGCCTTTGGAGATGTCTTAGATCCTTGTATTGCTGACAAGGGTTAAGTCTATCAGTATTAGTCATTGCACAACGTGGCTGTTACTGTGTACAATGTTCTCCTGGTTCTGCTTATTTCACTCAGCATCAGACCATACAAGTCTTTCCAGGTTTTTCTGAAGTCAGCCTGTTCATCATTTCTTCCATTACATTCATATACCACAGCTTGTTCAGCCATTCCCCAGTTGATGGGCATTCTTTCGATTTCCAATTCTTTGCCACCACAAAAAGAGCTGCTATAAATATTTTTGTACATGTAGGTCCTTTTCCTGTTTATATGATCTCTCTGGAATATAGCCCTAGAAATGCTATTGATGGGTCAAAGAGTATGCGCATTTTTATAGCCCTTTGTGCATAGTTCCAAATTGCTGTCAAATGCTTGGATCGTTTTGCAGTTCCACCAACAATGCATTTATTGTTCCAGTTTTCCCACATCTTCTCCAACATTTATCATTTTCCTGTTTTGACATGTTTGGCCCTCGAGGTCTTCAGGCTGAGGGTGGCTAATTGCATGCTGGTTTGCGGCAGAGGGTTCTCTTGTGGGTCTTAGTTCGCAGATGAACCTGAGGTCCCTTCAGATTCTTAGATTCTATGATAAGGGAAAAGTATACTTTATTAGGTTTTCGTCTGACCCATATCTGTTTATTGATTATTTTCTAAATCTCCTTTTTGAAACGACTGTGAATACATTTGACACTTTAGCTTCATAACAGCCACTTTCTAATATGAAATCTTTCCTTGTGGTACAATGGGAAGCCCCTACCTATAGAGTCAAAGGGCTTGGCCTTAGGTCATATCTCAGATGCTTACTACCCAGTGATCCTTGGGCAAGAGACTAAACCTTCTGGGGCCTCATTATACTGATCTGCAAAAAGAGGATATCTGGTCAGGTAACCTGAAGTTCCTTCCAGCTCTAGAACTATGATCCTTTAATTGTGTGTTTCAGGTTTTCTTTGAGGTGCAAGGACAGAGAGAATAACTATAGCTTCCATATGCCTTAATATCATTTAATTATTGATTATGTTTCTGATAATTCATCTTAAAGGAGAATCTCTCCCTTGTATTTACATGTTTCATTACTCACGGAAAAGTACCGAATAATAATTAGAAATTGGAGGGTTTAAAACAATTTATTTATATCTTTCCTGAATTTGTTTTTGAGTAAACATTTTGTCTACGTAGATTTAGCCTTGAATTTTGAACACTAAATAAGCTTAGTAATTCAGTCTTTTGTCTCCCACATGTTAGATTTGTTAGTTAGTGTGGTCCTTTCATTTAACTTCTTAGAGCCTCAGTTTCTCCATTTATGATAGGGAAGATAATAACTCACTAATGACCTTGTATAGTTCTTGTGAAGAAATTCCTGTGTAAAGCTTGGCATTGTTATTTTTTATCTCCGAGTCATATACAGAAGTATGAATTAATAATGGTTTATTTTTAAGTAATCATTGGAGTCGCTTAATTTCTTTTTGCAAATAGAGGTGAAAATCTAATTGTGATAATTGGAATGATTTTCATGAAGAATTTCAGCTAAGAAGACTACAGATATACTTCAGTTCTTTTTTTTTAATTTTTTTTAAATTTTTTTTTGATTTATCAACAATCACTTCCATATGCTTTTGAGTTGAAAATTTTTCTACCCCTTCCTCCCCGCCCGCCCAAGACAGCACACAATCTGATATAGGCTTTACATTTACATACCCATTAAACGTATTTTCACATTAGTGAAGTTGTAAGTAAAAATTAAAACCAGTGGGAGGAACCATCAGAAAGATGAAACAAAACTCAACAGGAGGTAAAAAATAAGTGATAGTGATTCGACTTCCATAATTCTTTCTTTGGATGTGGACAGCATTTTCCATCCCGAGGCCTCTGGAGATGTCTTAGATCCTCATAATGCTGAGAAGGATTCAGTTTAACAATCTTAGTCATTGCGTAATGTGGCTGTTACTTTGTACAGTGTTCTCCTGGTTCTGCTCACTTCACTCAGCATCAGTTCATATAAGTCTTTCCAGGTTTTTCTGAAGTCAGCTTGTTCATCATTTCTTATAGCACAATAGTATTCCATTACATTCATATACCACAACTTGCTGCTCAGCCATTCCCCAATTGATGGGCATCCTCTCAATTTCCAATTCTTTCCCACCACAAAAAGAGCTGCTATGAATATTTTTGTACATGTGGGTCCTTTTCCCATTTGTTTGATCTCTTTGGGATATAGCCCTAGAAGTGCTATTGCTGGATCAAAGGGTATGCCCATTTTTGTAGATGTACTTTAGTTCTTGAAAGAACTACAGAAATTAGGCTTTATAAATCAATTAGGTGTAATTATTTGCTGTATAAAAGGATTTTTTAATTTTTAAAATGATTCACTGAGAATTCTTGAAACTAGTAAGCTATTATTTTGAAAATACAATTATGTTAACAAAAAGATCTATGTGAATTCTTTTATGCTGTATAAATTTATGATATTGATTTTAATGTGTCCGTATAGCAGGTGCTGGTGTTATATAGTGAGATTAATTTTAATTATTATAGCAAGTGTATGTGTTTTCATATTTAAGACCTTATGTCCTCCATAAAAAACCCTTTGTTAAAATAATTCATGATACTTAGAAAATACTTGTTTTATAAGAGAAATAGTTGACTTAGGCAGTTAATTTGTAAATTCTTTGAACATCTCATGGCTGTAGGAACAGAATAATCAATCTTCTCTCCAACTTTACCTTTCAAATTACCTCTGTGTTATCCACCCCTCTTATTTGCTTTGCTTTTGTCTCTTGAGTATGAGGTGACCTTTGTCTTTTAAAATTCCAGTTTCCCTACTTATTGGTTGAACCTACTCCTTGTTTGCCCCATGAGCTTATACTTTTGTCATCCCTTTTTCTTCCTTGATGATCATTTTCTCCTTATCTATTACCTCTTTCCCTACTATTTGCAAATAAACCCAGATCTCTTTCATCCTGTATTAAAAAAAAAGTGTCAACCCAGCTATTCCTTAAAGATACTATCTAATATCTCGTTTGTTTCACAGCCAAATTCCTAGAAAAAACTGTCTGTTCCTGTTGCTTCTACTTTCTCACTTCACACCTGCACCTTACAATTTTGTTTCTCCTCTCATTCATAAACAGAAACCTTTTTTTCTCCGAAGGTACACTGATGGTCTTTTGTAAATTGTGTTTTTCTAAATCAGTGTGTGGCGAACAGGGATCCAGGTTTTTGTTTGAATTTAGCCCCCATTGGGCTAAATTGGGCCCCCACTCCCAAATTAAAAGAGTGGTTATCAGAGAAACCTTAGAAGACTTACATGAACTGAAGTGGAATAAGGAGCAGAACTAGCACAATTAATCCAATAACATCTTTGGAAGACTTTGAACTTTGATTAATGTAGTGAACTACCGCAGGTCAAGAGGAATGGAATAAAGCATGCTGTCCACCTCCTGGTTGAGAGTTACTGGACTCAGTGAAGATTGAAACATTGTTTTCCAACATGGCCAATGTGAGAATTTGTGTCACTTGACAATTTGTGTTTGTAACAGGTTTTATTTTTCTTTCCTACTCAGTGTAGGGGTCCTGGGGGGTGTGAGGGGATAGGAGGGGATAGGAGGGAAAGAGGTGTGACCTTTGTTGATAAAAAAAAGAAATAAAAAATTTTAAACATAGTGTTTTAATTTAATTGCTTTTATGGATCAGTGCTCTCATTGGTGTGGGTAAACCTTCCAGTGATATAACTTTTTTGTACTGTGTCACTCCTCTTCATGAGCTGAAAATCCTGTATAGGGGCCTGCCTGATATGCCTGGGGCTATCCTTAGTTCTCTTCACGTTTCATGAATACCAATGAAATGTATGGTTTATCTACCAGTTATCTATTTCTCCTGCCACATGAGTGGTTCCCCTGATTTTCTGTTAATGCAGCTCTGATTATATATTTTATATTTGTTTCTCTTAGATGAATCTTGATTGCTAATGTCTTACAACAGTATTCAGACCAACTATATAGTCTTCTCCATTATTCTTTGAATGACCCTTAACTTCATTACTTTGGAGACTATGATATCATGTGATTTTATCACCATTAGTACCACTGGAAGTAATGTGATATTCCTTTGTATCACTGATAAGCTTGGGGCATTAAAAACATTATGTGGTTTTCCAAAAGTGGTCTATCTTCCCTGTACTTCTGTTAATTCTGGTATAACTTCACATTAAAATCTGGACAATAGGCATTCCTCATCAACTTTGTTTCTCCTTTGAGAAAGTTAGGCCAGACTCATTTGCGTGATTATGGATCTCATTTAGGAGGCTCTGTAGTCTTCTTTGTTTTCATGTGGTTATAACAGTGTTATCTAGCTACAGGAACAGTTGAAGAAGTTTTCAATTTCAGCTCTGTGCTGGATTTCAGACAGTGGCAAAAACTTTTGGTGCGTATATGTTTGTTTTATGCTTTTGTAGTCATAATTAGAAAGCCGTTGGGCAAAGTTATGTCTATTACATATGTCAAAAGACTCCAGCAGGATTTTGGAATATATGTGAAAAATGCATTTTGGGAAGACAGCCCTAAAGACAGTATTTTCCTCTACCAAATAAAATACTTTTTATGGTCAACAAACATTCAGTTGGCCTGGTATTTTTTATTTTTTTAAATTAATTTTATGAGTGTAAATTTGTCTTCTTGAGACTATTATTTGCAAAAATCATTCTGTTCTCATACTTTCTTCAGGGATGCTCACAATGTATGCTGATTTATTACCTGCTCATTATCTTCCATCACCCCCCTCTGGGAGGTCTTCCAAACATTTTTTTTACTTTTAAATTATGTTACTCTAGAATCCAAGGGTAGGGAACCTGTGTCTGAAAGGCCACATGTGGCCCTCTAGGTCCTCAAGTGTAACCCTCTGACTGAATCCAAGCTTCACAGAACAAATCCCCTTAATAAAAGGACTTGTTCTGTAAAACTTGGACTCAGTCAAAAGGCTGCATCCAAGGACCTAGAAGGCCACATGTGGCCTCTCTGACACAGGTTACCCACCACTGCTCTAGACTGCTTATCACTCTCCTTAGAATCTGGTGGGGTTTTTGTGTGTGTGTGTGTGTGTGTGTGTGTGTGTGTGTGTGTGTGTGTGTGTGTGTGTGTGTGTGTGTGCGCGTGTGTGCAGAAATGATTTCTAAGCTCTTTTGGTCACTTTGGGAGGATTAACTTACATATTAATTAAACTTCCTTAGGAAATGGTAGTAATATGTGTCAGTGTCTGTTGTCTTAATCATTTTTCATTTGAGTGGGAGGGGCAACACCACTTTGTTTAAATAGGTTTGGTTGAATTTGCCCCGATCTCATCCCTCATCTATGTCTTATGATCTTCCAGTCTCTTCGATTTTGCTTTTTCCTCTAACAAGTTGATCATCTGACTTTAGAAAGCTAATTTTGGGAAAGAATGCTACCTTGTTGACTTGTCATTTCCTTTCTCTTAAAAGCATAAATATCTGAAGTTAATTCTGTTTAATATGGAGCTTCTTACATTGACCTGATTTTTTAAAAGAATGTTCATAATACATATATGTTAGGCTGCTGATGAGTCAACAATCCATTGACCTTTTTACTTTATTATTTAAGTCATGTTTTCTATTAACCCTTTTTGCCATTTTCCCCTATGGCCACTTGTGTGTTTCTATTACTGAACAGCAAAGCATGCTTTTATTGAATTTTGAGAGTCTTTTGGAGTTCTTAGCATAATTCCCTCATCTCTTCACACTCTCCTACAGACAGTTTTCCGTAGTCTTCCATTTTCATGGTAGCCTCTTTGCCAGCAATCTTATGAACAATTCAGTATCACATGGAGTGATATTTCTTTTTTGGATGAACATATAGTTCACCTCCTTTATTTGCCTCTTCAGGGAAAACTTGTCGGCCACTCTTCCATTTAGCTACAACTTCTTGTGGTTTCCAGTTTTATTTATATTAAGAATGTTAGGATGGATATGATTACATTCCTTGAGTAGTCTGTTGATTCAGTGGTCATTAAAAGAGAATCTTACATTTGGAGTGCTGATAAATGGGTTCATATTTATGTATAGTCTAAAAACTGCAATGTAAAATTCTCCTTTTTCTGCCATTCTGCCTCTGTCACTAAAGAAATTCAAGGTTACTGCATAGGACCAAACTGGGTTTTGCATTTTTCTTTCTTTGTGGCACCCATAGAATAAAGAATTCATTACCAAGTCCTCAGAGAAATGATACTGAACTTTTTGTTTTTAACTATCCTGAGCATCCCAAGTTTGGCTTAAAATCAAGATGGAGATATCTGCGTATGACTATGGATGGTTCTGTTTGTCAAGATTAGATTTGTAGATTTCAAAAGGGGTGGTTGTGTGTGTGTGTGTGTGTGTGTGTGTGTGTGTATGTATGTGTGTAGAGAGAGAGAGAGAGAGACAGACAGACAGAGAGAATAATAGAGGCCTATATAAGCCAGTATTGGTTAGTTAACTCTACTCTTATTTTCTCCCTAAGTTAGAAAATAACTATCAACATAAAAGTTGTCCATTTGGGAGTATATTCGCTTTGGTCAGTGCTCCATTTTATTGAAGAGGCCATTCGCTGACTCTTGAGTTGGGGAAGAGGTGTCTTTCACAAGAACCACTTTTAGAAATATGGTTCTTGTAGAATTCCAGAAGTAAGAACAAACCAGTATACCATTACTTTAAAATGATCAAAGCTGTCTTTTGGTGAATTTAAAAAATGACCATATGCCATGTAATCTGGTACATTATTTTTAGTATTACCTAAAATATTTTTCTGTATTTCAGCCTATTCCAGTGATAAATGGAAAAGAATTACCAAACCCCCTTACAATTCAGCTTTGTGATCAGTGGGAAAATCCTTCCCCAGTACCACTAGTTAAAATAAGTCTTGTGAAAGCAGCCATCTTAAAAGTAAGTATCCATCTTTGAATATTAAGTGTGTTGGGGTGATAATTCTGAATTTCATCAAATCTTGTTTCATAGTAACAGTTTTATGTATTGTGAACATTTATTTCCCTACCCAATAGTCTAAATGAGGCAAGACAGTTTTCATGTCTCCTCTCCCTCACAAAATCCCGCCTGGAAGTTTTAATGCTCATGAAGTATGTACATGGTCTTTTAACATGATTAGTTCAGTGCTTTTTACTAAGTACTAGTACTGAGAATTCACATTAAAGAAAACCCCAGCCATGAGGGTTTTTTTTAATTATTCATTAAGTTAAACTGATAGTCTGAAGACTTCCTTATATGATGCCAGAGTAAACTCAACATATTTGTTCACATATATTTTTTAAAGTGCACAATTTGTTAAGTGATATGGGCCTTCAATTTGTACATTAGAGTTAGAGGGTAAATTTCAGGATCAATAAAAAATAATGATTCTCTTCTTAAATCGCATACCTCTTAGATTTGTCTTGAGACTTCTGTGAGATCTTGTTTATAAAGATTCTTCAGGGATGGGTAACCTGGGCCCTTCTAGGTCTGTGGGTATGGCCTTTTGACTGAGTCCAAGTTTTACTGAACAGATCCTTTTATTTAAGGGGATTTGTTCTGTGAAGGTTGGATACAGTCAGAGGTCCACACTTGAGGATCTAAGAGGGCCACATATAGCCTTGAGGCTGCAGATTCGCTACCCCTGATAAAGAACTTCAAACTTTTAAGTACAACATAAATGGGAGTAAATATTCTATTCTATAAGAGAAAATAAAATTATAAATATTAAATTCACTGTATGTTATTCAGAAAAAAATCATCAAACTCTAATAAGCACCTACTGTAACATCTTATGTACTGGAGAGATGCAAGGTTCAGTTAAGATATGGTCCTGTCTGTCAAGGAGATTAATCATTCAAACATTTACTAAATGCCTACTATGTATTAGATACTGTTATAAATGATCCCTTAATTAGTAAGTCTAGTGGCTTTTTCTTAGTACTCATTCTTCTTCCCTGCAACTTTTTTTTTTAACCTGATCTAGTTGTTGTTTTGTTTTGGTTAGGCAGTGGGGTTAAGTGACTTGCCCAGGGTCACACAGCTAGTAAGTGCCAAGTGTCTGAGGCGCAATTCCTGACTTCAGGGCTAGTGCTCTTTCCACTGTACCACCTAGCTGCCACTCTCTGCATCTTTCGACACTGGGCATCATTCTTTCCTGGATAGTCTTTCCTCTCTAGGTTGTCCGGTCTGTTATCAAGTCTTGTCATTTCTACCTCTTCCTACCTTCTACCTCTACTTACTCTTGTACATTTCCTCTTCTTTTTACTTACACAAATGCCACCCTGGTACACTTCCTGTCTAGAGTATTAGAATAACCTTTTGGTTGGCCTCCTTGCCTCATGTTTCTCTCCATTCTAATCCATCCTCTTCTCATATCCTAAAATGATTTTCCTGATGCTCTGGTCTGGTATTTTCACTCCCTTCCTCATCAAAAAACTGCAGTTATTGCCTGTTATTTCCATGAACAAATATAAAGTCCTCTCTTTGGCATTTAAAGCCCTCCCTCCCTTTCCAGCCTCTTGAGCCTCTGTGTAGGATCTGGCTGTAATGGCTTCCTTTCCATTTCTTCCACGAGACTTACTCTGTTATCATTACCAGTCCCTTATGCATAGAATGCTTTCCTTCCTGGAATTTTTGGAAGGCAGTAATATGACACCAGAGTGGAACAGTGGGGGTAGCACAAGGGGCTAAAGGGTTTTGAATGCCAGTTAGAGGATTTGAACTTGACTTGGTAAGACAATTAGGAGTCACTGAAGATTTTTGAACGGAGAACTGGCACAATTAAGTTCATGAATAAGAAAGATTTTTCTTTCAGTAATGTGGAGGTTGTATTGGTCAAGGGGAGAAGGTTAAAATGGGGAGTCCTATAATGATATAGGTTTCAATTTGCTAAGTAGGTAGAATGTGTTTTTGTATTATTGCAGTAGCAGTGGGAATAGGAAGGAAGACATTCATATTGCATAAACAGAATTGATAAGCCCTCCTAGCCATATACAGTGGGAGTGAGTGTGAGATTGAGGGTTACAAATTTGATAGACTGAGAGAATGGTGATGCGTCAGATACTTATAGTAGGTTTAGAAGGAATGATAATGCACTTAATCTCAGATACATTGAGTTTGAGGTTTAATCTAGGTTTAAATGTTTTTAAATATTTGAAGATTTACATCTGGAGTTCTGGAGAGATATGCATCCGGTGATTGAGATCTGAGAATTATATGCTTAAGTTATTGAAATGTATGAGTTCATGAAATTGAGAGGGGAAGAGTGTAGAGAGAGATGGAAGAATGATTGTAAATAGAATGTTGGGATTACCCACTTTAAGGCTTGCAGAAAATACTTGAATCTGGGAAGGATATAGAGAAGTAAGGGGGTTATAGGTAGGAGAAGGAAAAAAGTGTGATGTCTCTAAAGAACATGGTGGTTGTGAATAGGCTGAAATATATTACAAAGAAGGAATTATGAACAAGCAGTGTTATTGAAGGGTGCCATAAGAGGTTTTGATTAAAATGAAGATAGGGTAGTTGTGGAACGAAAGTGAGGGATAACTGTTGGACAGCAAGTATACTGATTCGTTGGCCTTGTTGCATTGTCTGGAGAAAGGAAGGAAAGCAGGCTTGTAGTTATGTGGTTTTACTTTTCCTCCTTCATTTCATTCTCTTGATTTCTTTCTATTTTAATGTTCCAGCTAAACTGGCCATTTGATTTCCCCCATAGGTTTTCTTTTCTCTCTTGCCAGCACACCTTTATATTGTTTTCAGAATCACTTTGCTCATATTATTCCTTATATCTTGGATATTTTCCACTTCCCTTCTCTAAATCTATCAGATTTCTGCTCATACTTATATGTATTTTTTGTATTTATTCACAGAAAAATTCACTCATAAGCTCCCTAAGTCCAAAGATCTTATATTACCTAAATGTTCTGTCTTCCCCAGAACCCTGGCATATTGCTTTAAACAAGCAAACAGTTGACTGAGTTGAACGTAATAGTCTATAAGCTTTTAAAGTGAATGGACTTGATCTCTTTTTGCAGCTGAACATATAGTAACAGTAATTGATTTCATCAGAGACATTACAGAGATCACAATGTAAAGGAACTTGGGTTTTTATTGGAGTTCAACATTCTTGTTTAGCCCCCTCATTTTACATATATGAAAACTGGCATCCAGACATGAAGTGACTCGCCCTTGGTCACATAGTATATTAGTGGTATAGTTATACCTGTAACACAGGTGTTTCATCTCCCATTACAATGTGCTTTCCATTCTACTATATTAAATTCCTAAACTTGAAACAAATGAAAAGGCAATTTATCTTGTTCTGGTAAAAGCTTCTAGCCACTTCACTAGACATTATACACTTCAAAACACTAACAGATAGCCTATCATGCTTCTGGTTTTCAAAAAATTCTAATCTTAATATTTTCCAATGTGAGTAAGTGGTGTTTTATTTAAGGTACATAATTACATTGCATCCAGTCCAGTATAGAATGAACTATCTAGAATGGTAATGACTTCCCTGTAATTCCCACCACTACAAATGTGTTTAGAAGATAGTTAGCTACTTGTCAAAGATATTGTCTAAAAGATTCCAGTTTTGGCAGTATTTGTAGACTAGATGAGTAAATGAATCAATAACCATTTATCAAAAGCCTACTTGGTGCCAGAAGCTTGGGATAAAAAAGAAATAATGAAAGTCCTTTCTTTAAAGGATCTTATATTCTATGGGAAGAGACTATACAGAACAAATATGATATAAATGGGAAGTAATTTTGGAGAGGTAAGATGTAGACGATCACATGAACTATGTTTTGAAGTATACCTCATATTCAGAAAGGAAGAGATGAGAAGGGTGAGCATTTCTGTGCCTGAGAAAGGATCAGTGAAAGGCATGGAAATTAGAAATGGAGTATTATACTTGAGAAACAGTGAAAAGGCCAATTATTTGCTGGATCATAGTAGAGTATATGAAAGGTAATGATAATGTAATAAAGCTAGAAAGAAATATTGGCTCCAGGTTGTGAAATGTAGCAGAGGAGTTTATAAATGATCCTAATGATAATAGATTGCTACTGGTATTCATTGAGGAGGGAGGCAAGTGAAATGACTAGATCTGTTCCTTAGGAAAATCACTTTGTTAGCTAGGAGGAGAGAATGGATCAGAGTGGTGAAAGATTCAAGATGGGAAGACCAATGGGGAGGCTGTTGCCATAGTACAACCCAGAGGTTATCAGAGATGGAGATGGATGGAAATTTTTTTTTTAAAGGCAATGGGGGTTAAGTGACTTGCCCAGGGTCACACAGCTAGTAAGTGTCAAGTGTTTGGTCTGAGGCCGGATTTGAAATCAGGTCCTCCTGACTTCAGGGCCGGTGCTCTATCTACTGCATCACCTAGCTGCCCCCTGGGTGGAAAAAATATTGTGGAGATAAAAATAGTATGGAAATTATTTGCATATGTGGGGCGAATGATCGGTTCACAGTGCCCCATTGGAGGATTTAGAGGTTTTCAGGAAGATTTTAAATAATCAGGGTGACTGGAAGGAGAATGATGACTTTGATAACTATGGACAAGTTGGGTAGAAAGATCAGTTTTGGAAAAAAAGGAAATGATTTTTGTTTTGAACACTTTGCATTTTAGATGGTCCGAGTTTGAAAGCATCTCTAAGTAATTGTTACTGTGGGACCAGAGTTCAGGAGACAGACTAAGGCAGAATATATAGCTGTATGAGTCATTGGCATAATGATTAAATCGATGGGGGTTAATATGGTTACCATAAAAGAGTGAAAAGAATGGGGCCTAGAACAGAGCCTTAGTTATATCCACAGTTTGGGAACTGATGATGTAGCAAAGGAGCCTGAGAAACAGTAGATGACTGAGAGATTGAGGTCACAAAAATCTCTGAAAGAATCCAGGATGACAGGGTAGTCAGTAGCATTAAATGATATTGAAAGATCAAAAAGGATTAAGTTTGATACAAGGGCATCAAATATTTTAGGAAATCGTTGGTGACTTTAGAGCATAGTTTCAGTTGAACCATTAAGTTGGAAGCCAAGTTGGAAAGGATTGAGAAGTGAATAGGAGAAGAGAATTGGAGGCCAGAAGTTTTGCTGATACAGGCAAGAGAGATAGAGCGTGGCACTTTGATAGGGTTTTTTACAAGTGGGGGGGCTTTTAAGGTTTAGAAAAGGAGGACATCTAAGTATATTTGTAGGAAGCATAGAAGGAACCAGTACATAGGGAAAGATGATGTAAGTTTAGGGAGAAGGTACTTCTAGAGAGAAATTGTGAATGAGACCATGAAAGGATACATATAGATAGTTTGACCTTCGTTATGAGAAAGGCCATCTCTTCATCAGAAATTGGAGTAGTCTTTACTTGAATAAAGGCAGAAAGAATGCAGATTGATAATATCAAAGTTTTAGGAAATGCAAGGTTTCCATTTTCTCAATATAATTTGAAGTGAGGTCTTTGGATCAGAGGGATCGGTGAGAGACCCTTGAGAAGAGGTTTGAAATAGTTCCTATAAAACTAAATAGAAAAAATTTAAAACAGAATATATTTCAGAGGACTAAAAGGATTTCTTTGCTACAGTGAGGGTCAAATAGATAATATAAATTTGTAATGGGCTCAATTAACATGGTTTTGTGAGTTCTTCCGGCTCTGTTTAACTGTATGCAAGTCAGAAAGGAGGAGGTAGATGGTGGGAGTAATGCAGCACTGGGGTTTGTCAAGGGAAGAGAGAGAAGGTAATAAGGGCCACAGATTCTTCAGTAGAGGACATTGTAGAACTAAACTGGGTTGCTTCTAGGGTCATGATTAGGAATGGAGGAATGTAAAGCCAAATCAGGAGTGATAGCCTAGGAAAATACTGAAGACTGTGGATATTAATCATGTCAGCTACATATATAGGATAAAGCAATGTTGATTTGGTGGACATGAATCGGAAAATAATTTGTGATTCAGTTACAATAAAATTGTTGGCGAAAACAGAAAAAGTTGTTTTTAGAGTAGTTGTGAGGGGTTTTTTTGGTTTGTTTTGTTAACAGTTATTTTCTTTACAGCTTAGCCCTTCAAATCAGCAGCATAAAACTGATGACAGTGGCAGGGCTGATTTGGGAGTTTTTACTGTTTCTGCCCCTAGGTAAGTATCAAATTGTTTTGAAAAGTAGTGCAATTATATAGCTCCATTTTCCTTAGGAGTTGATGAGTAAATAATGAGCCCTTCATTGAGCACTTTGATCCTTGTATTTGGTGTTACAACATGACTGCTTGGAGGATGAAGAGTGTAGTCTTTTGGTACAAACTGTGTGTTAAGGAGGTAATTTATATCCTTTAAACTCTATCTCTTCCATTTTGTTATATTTCACAAGAATAATCCTATATGTTAACATACATGTTGAGATTTTTCTCTTTTCCCATGTTGAATATTACCATTTAATAAAACAAGGCCACTTAAAACACTGGAAATGCAAATCAGTGGTTGCCTAAATGGAATGTGTTTAGATAATTTCATAATTTTTGTATAATAACTATTGTAACTCAATTTTTTTTTTAAAGGGGAGAACATACTATACAGGTTAAAGCAACCTACAACAAGAATTCCCTAGAAGGACCTACAATTAGGCTAATGGTTCTTCCAGACCCTGAAAAGCCAGTGCGTTTGAATGTCAAATACGATAAAGACGTTTCTTTTTCAGCAGGAGATATTTTTACTGGTGAGTAAGTCTTTATATTTTTAAATTATTTTTTACTATTATAAGATGCTTTGGTGACTTATTTAACTTTTATTTTAAAATCAATTGAAAAATTTAAAAGATCTGTGTAAATAGTGGCATTTTACTTAGTTGCTTGGTTTTTTCCTCCTATGTAGTTGTATTTTCCTTCATGTTACATATGAATTGTAGGAGATAGACTTTTACAAAGGAATTGTGTTGCATTTCATATCTCCAAGAAAACAAGAAATTGTTTGACAGAAAGATAGAACTTCCTATGATTAGTGAAAGGCAGTGAACAGTATGTTTGGGGAATGTGAAACTGTACTTTGTCCACCCTATCAAGGGATTATTTTAAATTTTTACTTGTGTTCTCCAAAATTTTTGTTTTAGTGGATTGTTTTTTGTTACACCAAAATGTCTACAATTTTATAATGAAAGCTAATGGGAAATTTTTTTTTCCTTTATACTCAGTTCTTCTAGATTGTTTCACTTGGAAATGAAGGATTCTAGTAATTTTGTTTAAGGTGTGACTAAAAAATGAATGAAATACTAAATATTTGAAAATCTCTGTAAATAAAATGTGGCTTTTAAAAGGTAGAACACTTCCTACAGAAGTTTTCCTGAATTAGATTTTTCTACCATTCTGTAAGTTAATGAACCAACCACAGCAGGAGTCTGTAGAGCAAAGTGGAAATAACATTGGAATTGGTTGGCCTGGCTGTGCCATTTTATTACTGTTTTGACCCTTCAGCAGATCATTTGACTCCTTTGGGCTTCAATTTCCTTATCTGAGAGAATGGAACAAATGAATGGTAAAATTGGGGTGTTCGAGTAGGTGACTTTTAAGGTTCCTTTAATCTGTGGTCCTTTAGTCTATGAAAACTTGTTCTTAAATTCAGTGAAATAGATATTGAAATCAGAATATGCACTTAGTATTTTGTCAGCATTCAAATAAATCGTCACAGGAAAGTCTGTAGGAGTTCATTGATTCTGGGGAGCGAGGCATTTTAGTGCAGTAAGTCCGTAGGTTTGTTCAGTGTCAAAAAAGTTTTGTGTGCTTGGAACTTAATAGCCTGGAAACGGGTTCTGTGTAATCCAGGTGGTCTCGGCAAACAAAGAAGTATATGGGCAGGAAGCAGATTACAACAGGGAAGTCAACAACAGTGTACCCCACTATACCACCAACAGAGAACTACATTACAGCAGTATAGTAAGATTGAAAATTTTCTTTTAAAAATTATATAATTTCTTTCTCAGTGTACAAAAATCGGTTTTCTCTTCTCATTCTCCCAAATCAAGGATAGAGATGAGGAGAAAAACTAAATCCTTGTATAAAATTTGAATAGTTAGGTAAAACAAATTCCTTGGTTGACCATGAACAAAGAATATATGTCTAATTGCACCCTGATTCCATTAGTCAGTCAAAAGCATTTAAGAGCCTACTACATGTCAGGCACTCTGCTGATGGATGGGAATACAAAGAAAGGCCCTTGAAAGAGGGAAAAACATTTAGAGAAAACATTTAAACAACTACATACAAACAAGGGAGGTAGGTGGCTCAGTGGATAGAAAGCTGTATGTGCAGTCAGGAAAATGTGAGTTTAAATTCAGCCTTAGACACTAGCTATGTGATCCAGAACAAGTCACTTTACTTCTGTCTGCCTCTGCTTCATCAACTCCAAAATAGATATCATAATAGCACCTACAGCCCAGGTGGTTGTGAGAATGAAATGAGATACTTATTAAATGCTTAGCACGAAGCCTGGCACATAGACACTTAATAAATCTTTAGCCCCTTCTCTCCTTTATATAAGATAAATAGGAAATAATCATTAGATGGAAGACAATAGAATTGATATTGGGAAAGGCTTCCTATAGATAGTGGGGTTTTTATCTGGGACTTGAAGGATGCTAGGAGGTAGAGATGAGGCGAGAGAAACGTTCTAGGCATGGGGGACCGGCAGTGAAAATGCCCAGGGTCAAGAGAGAGATTGTCTTGTTAAAAGAAATTTGGAAGGCCATTGTCACTGGATTGAAGAATGGGGGAGGGGGGATACAAGTTGTATGAAGACTGGAAAAGTAGGGAGGGGCTATGTTATAAAGGACTTTGAACACCAGTTTTTTGGCCTTTTCTTCCCCCAAAGAGAGACGCTGGAGTTTATTTAGCAGGGAGGTCACAAGTTCAGACCTGTGGTTTAGGAAGATTGCTTTGACAGCTAAGTGGAGGATGGACTGGATTGGGGAAAACTTGAGGCAGGGAAACCAATTAGGAAGCTATTAGAGCAGTCCAAGCATGAGGAGATGAAGCTGCCACCGGGGTGGTGGCAGTGTCAGGAGAAATAGGGTATGTTAGAGAGGTATTGCAAAGATGAAATTGACTAGTCTTGGCAACAGTTGGACATGAGGGGTGAGAGAGAGAGAGCTCAATTTTGAACTCAAGTATGAGGTATGAAAGGAACATCCTATTACAGAGAACTGTTTGTTGTTTGAGTGTAGAGATACAGATTTAGCAGTTATTCTTATAAAGGGTATTATTAAAGTTAACTTAGTAGAAGGAGTGTAGAGATAGATGAGAAGATGAAAGATGTCTTAGCATCTAGAATTAACAGCCACAAAAGACCTTAGAAAACATCTTCATTTTAGAGATGTGGAAAATGAGGCTCAGAGAGGTTAAATATTTTGTCCAAGACATAGATGTAACTAGACATAAGTGTATTTTGAACTCAAGTCCTTTATTACTAAGTCTAGTTCACTTTCCACTCCACCCAGTAATGGAACAGAGATTGTGGTTGTGTGGTTTTTCATTTGTTCTCGAAGAGGAAAATGGCATCAGAAAGATGATGCCATGACTTGCAAGTGAATTGGATTTGAGTGAGGGAGGGCTGTGCAAAGTCAGCAGCTTCACTTTCTCTTTCAGAGCCATCTAGGTTCAGTGGCCCTGGAACAGAGGTAGAATCTTAGAAGTCACCCATATTTCAGGAGCAACTGTAGAAAGAAGTAGTAGAAGAGATTGAAAAAAAAACAGTGGTATATAGAAGCCAAGAGGGAAGATCTTTTCATATTTTATTTGGCAGCCATGTCCATAATAAGAGCAGAAATTATGCCATATCATACATGAGAAATCACTGAAAACTCGTGGGAAGTATTGATAAAACCCTGCATAAGTAGATACTTAGGTTCTAATTAGGATCTGTAAATAGGTTTTTCTGTTGAATTTGGGCCACTTAACCTTTTTTTTCTCCATTTGTAAATGTAAAGAGTTTAATTTTTTTTAAATGCTAGATGATACAATATTTGTGAAGTACTGTTAACAGTTTAAATTTTACATGATGCTCTCAAAGCATTCACAAATTCAATATGCTTTATGATTTACATGATCAGTATTTGTTAAACCATTATCTTTAGAGAGAATTTTCTCTTTTATAGTTTCAGCAAAATTGTATTCAGTAAATATCTAATGCTACTAAGAGCAACTGAAAGAACAGTGCATAGCCCTGTTCTTACGACAGAACCAACTCAGGAAGATTTATTAAAAATAAACTAGGCACTTGGTATAGTGGAAATAGAGTTAAAGTCAGTAGATTTGTGTTTTAGTCTTGCCTCTGAATTTACTGGCTGTGTTAATGGACAAATCTTTTATTGTTCCTGAGCTTCAGGTTTCCTCAACTGTAAATAAGGGATAATACTACTTATACTGCCTACCCATCAGGGTTGTTTGCAGATATCCCTTTGCAAAACTCAGCATTATATAAATGTGAACAATTACTATCATTTATTAATTCTGTTTCCATTTTTAATTCCTTTTAAATGTTTCTGGCTTTTCATTATATACCTGTTTAAAAAGCTTGTTTTGTGTATTTTGTTTTTAAATAGGCAAAAAGAAATAATGCATCATGGTAACAAGTGTTACATTTCAAATGGCATTGTCAAAATAGTTTAAGTGGAACAGTGAAAAATCCCTTAGGTCAGCAAGTTGGCTAAGTTTGCTGTTCCTCATACATGGTAACTCTTTATGCCTTTACTCTGGCTGTCCCCCCAGTGCCAGGAATGCACTCCCTTCTAAATAGTTTGAAGGATAGGTCAGGTGTAATTTTCTGCCTGATGCCTTTGCTGATTCCCCAGTTGCTAATGAATTATGGACATGTGGTTTCCCTTGACTTGACTATCATCTCCTTGAGGGCAGGAACTGTTTTTCCTTTTGTCTTTGTATCTGTCTGGTCCTGGAACAGTGTCTGGTGCATGCTAAATGCTAGTATTTGCTTGTTGAGTACTGTGGGTGTTCACTTTTTTGGTTAGATGAACTTCTAAGGATGAAGACTTTGTTGATGACTAAAATGTCAAGGAGAATGTAAATTATCTAGAAGTATAGTGGTATAACTTGTCTTTGTATCATTTGGGATACACTGTTGTAAATATAATGTATCCATAGCAGCATTTTACATAGAATCAAAAGAAGAAAGTAATGTTCAGGCATATTAGATTTGGAATATCACAGATTTCCTGTCAGATTTATTTAATTTGTAAAACCATATATTCCCAATCATTCTCTTTTTTACAGTAAACATTTATTGATTTTGTTCTTATGTAGTGGTATTTGCTTGATAAGGGGGAGAAAGAAATGTAATGTAGCCTGTCCCCTTTGCTTTTAAAAAGCTCTTGAGGGTCATATTATGTTTACATTAAAATTTTTTTAAAAAGAAACCCTGTTGGTTGGAGTATCTTCTTTGCTTCTTATAGTCCTAGTTAGTTGCCTGTGGGTACTGAGGAATTTACTCAGGGTCACACAGCTAGCATGTTAAAGACAGGAATTGAATCCAGGTTTTCCTGACTTCAAGACCTGTCAACTATGATTCATCTCTTTTATTTACATTCAAAATAATAAATTAGAGATAATACTGTTTTTTCAGATAGATATCCATTATGACAATTTTTAAATGACGTTGCTTTAAGACAAAGTTGAAATGTGACTTTGCAGTTTTTTTTAATCTCAGAGATAATTA